CATAAACTCATTTTAGATATGTCCCCTCGTATTTGATAAATCAAATTTTGCTAAACAAATATATGTATTATGTTACTCAACTTAAAATGACAGTTTATTTGATGGTTGTCAACCGAAAAAGTTTGAGTGTGATACAGTACTGGATATCAGTAAGCCTTAAAATATACTATGTTTAATTCCTGGGAAATTTTGCTTATTTCTAGAGAAATTGACAGCCCCTTCGACAGCTGTATACTCTGAAGGTTTTGAATTTAACGTAAATCCATGACTAGAGTTTCTCTTATTAGTAGTATCTTTAAAAAATATTAGCTTATTTTTAGAAAAATGAATAGCGTATTTGACAGCTGTCAACTCTCAAAGTTTTAATTCACAGCTGTCAACTGTCAAGGTTTTAATTTGATATAGTGGTATTATTAAAAATATTATCTTAATTTTAGAGAAATTGTCAGTTGATTTGACAGCTCTCAACCATCATATTCGGATTTAGCACTACAACAATACTACGATCCCGCAGCTTTATTATAATCGTAACAGCCCTTCAATTTTCCGCGTAAAGCATGGCTTCTCCGACCACTGTGCGGCGTCTCAAATTTGGCATCTAAACTAACCGTAAATTAGATTTTGCTTTACAAATTTCGTGCCACCGGAGAACCCAACACTAAAAGAGAAAAGTTTCCTATAACTTTGACATTTGAATATGCTACGCATTTTTATCAGAAATTGTTGAAAAATGGCGAAAACCGTGACATTGCTACATGCTAATTATTTACAATAAAAAATTAATATTTTTTTTTAAGTTTGTATATAAAAAACCCAAACCCAAAAAGAACCTAAAACCAAAGATAGCGGACTGTTCCGGTATGAAATTTAGGGGCGATGAAATGGAAGTAAACTGCATCCCAAGTTCGTTACTACACATTTTTTTCGCACCAATTTAATCTAAATTTACTTATTTAATTTAAATTCTGAATTCTTAGAAAATAGTGATTTTACGTGGAAAAAACATCAATCACTTTATATTTTGGGGATGTTTAAAAATAGCCATACCCTGTGGGGAAAATCTCTAGTTCTGAACTGGGGCGCTTCTAGTACATTTAGACCCAGTACTGGTTCGCGATAAATCTCTTTTGCATGCAAGCAACTGGCGAATTTAACATGGCGATGTCCTAGGAAGTGTCAATTGCCCCCNTTTCGATAGTTCCGAACTAGTCCTAAATTCTATAGTTCCGAACCAGTTCTAAAATCGACAGACGAAAGAAAAAAGTATCATGATTTTTCAATCTTTTTGGTTCTTCCCTGTGTGCGATTTTAAGTTATTTTGGAAGAAATGCGTTTTCAATTTGAAATTAAATTTGTTTGAATGATTGTAAGAAATGTACGTTTACATACCTTTAGCTGTAGCTGAGTTTGCAGAGGTGCTCGCTGTTATTTCTTAGATTCCAGACGGCCCAAGATGTTAATATGTTAACACAAAGTTTTGTTTTGTATTACCAAGCTATGAAAAAGCATCTGCGAAGCACAGAATAGAAGCGTATTTGAACGAAAAAGCCGCTGAAGACATATCTATGTAAAGTAAACAAGCCACCCGCTGCATCCCTTTTTCTATAGTTCCGAACCATTTCTAAATTCGTCACTTTAGATATAGATTTCTACTGAAAAAAACTTAAAAAAAATAGTTTTTTAAAAGAACAACTTTTCGCCGATTTTGGACTGGTGGGGATTTAGTTCGTATCGGACTAGTTCCGTTTTGGCTATAAAGACCTAGTACGGAACTAGAAATTTGATTCACTAGTCCGCGGTTTCCCTACAGGGTATTTTACATCGGGGGGCCATTATATTATATCAAATCTCCCACTTACTTATAGGTAATTTTGACCACATTGAGAAAGATTTCATGAAAATGCTTAATTTAGGGTTTCAAGGCACGTCTTTCCGTTGTTCGACTTTAAAAATTCTTCACAGGGCACATTTTTATGACCAAAGGAACATTTCTACGAGTCTTGCTTTGTAGCTTAACAAAAAAATGTCTCCATACCACTAAGGCGCAGGCTAATGTGCAGTCATGGGCATAGAACGAGCACAATGGGCTAGCTTTTCTCAATATTCATCGCAATGTTAGTTAATGTTGAATCAGTATTAAAAAGTAGTTATCTATAAAATATGCTGAATACTCTAAATAAAACAATGATATTCTTAGTTGTTACGAATGGCTTTACATGAACCCCCCACAAAGAGAAATCCTGCGGCCGGCCCTGGTTTTTAAGCAAGGTCGTCACAGTTTTTTGAGAACTTTAGATTTATGGAACAAAAATAAAAATCTGGGGATAGCATTTAAAAACTATTCGAATGTGCAAGTCAAAACGGTTTTGAAGGACAAACATTTTTAATAGCCATTTGCAGACCTGAGCGAGACCTTTTCGGCGACATAAAAACTTTTAAAATCGGATATCAAATAAGAACGTTATAGCAAAAAACGCGATTTAGCTATCTATATAATGGTTATACAACGCAGAAACAACAGAGAGCTAATTGCTATAATTTGAAATTTAATTTATTCACATTGATATTTTCTTAATGATAAAAAATAAATACAGCAATTATGATAAAATAAATATATATATGTAGCCAGGAACTATACAGTTTTTTTATGTGAAGCAGTGATGAAATGGGCCAGAAAACAATTATTCTTAACCCCGGGCAGTTGCGGCAACATTGGCGGCCTGCTGCGCCACGCCAAGTCCTTGGATGGTGGCATCTCTTGTGTGTTGACCAACACGCTCCTGTTCGGAAAGGAAATTTTACAATAGTAAGTACATATGTACATAATAGGCTATGAATGCTTCTGTGTTTCTACTTACGATTTTCTTGCCGATCTTTTTTAGCCAACCCGCTTCTGTTTGCCCTGCGAAAATAGCGATCAAAACGGCAAAGAAGATGAAGACTTTATTGAAGTTCATTTTGATTGTTGTTTTTTGTTTCTTGTCTACTGCAATGTAATACTTTACAACTTAGCTCGATAGCTGTTTAGCGGCGACTATTGTCTTTACTGGGGACGTTCCAAACGCTTTTGATGATGAGAGATTGACGACTGGGGCTTTTATAGCGAGAACTACTTCGATTGGTGACGGCCTCTGCATTTCCTTCATTATACGGGGGATCACTGGCATCCATCATCATCAATGTATGTACATACATACATATGTGTTCGTATGCATCACTTTGCTGATAAGGTGACAGTATTAAATAATTTCATTTGCTTTACTTAACTCGGGGATTTTAAACTTCTTAAGAGTGCAATATCTTGTGTTGTGTTGTCTTTTAGAAACTACTACAGGCATACATAATAAACACACCGACATGGATATATACAAATGTACAGTAGGGTGCCCCGCTACCCCCTAATTTTATTCGTTTTTATGAGAAATATTGGGCCGAATGAATAAAAACAAAGCAATTGCTTTTTCTTAAAATTGCATACCTTCTACTTCAATTTTATTTGAATAAATCGAGTAAAGTGTAAGAAATTTTAAGAAAAAGTAATTGCTTATTTTTTATTCATACGGCCCATTATTACCTATTTTAATAGATTTTTTAAAGGTCTGTTATAGGTCGCGACCTGTCGATTTAGGTCAGAAAATACGATTTTGTAGCTTAATGAGTTTTTGAATGACTACTTTTGATTCGATTTCAAGGATCGAATATGATCTGAGATGAGGATATACATATAGGCCTTTAAAATGGTATATAATAACCTATTGTCGACTTGGCTTGTTGGGATTTTTTATGGGGTAAAATAAAAAAAACCCATATTTCTCTTAATTTTTTAAATTTTGATCAACGACAATTTCCACAATTTCAAATTATGTAGTACTATATAAAAATAAAAATTCTCGAAGTTAGGCGACTTTTATTAAATACGGCCTTGAATTTATATTGTTTACTAGCTTCACCCCACGTCAGAAGAAATTGAAGGGGTCTTGTGACTTGTGGTTCCGAAGTTATGGCTGATAAAAAATTCCAGGCATAACCAGTTAACGGTAAAATATTCCGCGCCTTCGGGATTTTCTGCCTCCTTACACCGTCTCATTTACATATATACATACCTTACTATAAGCACCTACCATAGATATGTCTGCATACCAAATTTCCAGCTCATGTGACTTATGGTTCCGAAGGTATGACTGACAAAAAATTCCACGCCTATCTTATCTGCCACGCCCCCTTTTACCAACTCATTTATATATACCTTAAGATAAGCTTCTACCAAATTTCAAGTTCATGTGACTTACGGTTCCGAAGTTAGAGCTGTTTTAATAATTAACGCCTATGGGAGGTGCCATGCCCCCTTTTGCAAAACCACCCATATTTTCCCATGAGTATGGAAATAATCTCTTTTATATCGGCACTAAGTTCCAGCACACTACCACAAATATTTCAAGAGATATACAACATGATAATTTTAGTCAGTATGGGAGGTGCCACGCCCCTCTTTCCAGTAATGTCCATATTTCTCTATGCCTATAACCTTTCCGGGGTAAAAGCAAATAAGTGCGCAAAGTTTCATGCGATTCCGTGCCGCGGTTCGAAGTTATAAGGTAATAAACAAACAGACATTCACATTTATATACATACATATACAGATGTACCGGACTTTCAGATTTTTGAGCAGGAATTTATCAATATTTGATCAAAATTGATGTATACAATCGCTCAAATTCGGTATACACATTGTGCAAAACCTACTCCCCATAAAATATAGCTAGCTTTGAGTTTTTTAAAACTACCGTTACGTTGGTGGAGCGTGCGATTTCCGTGTCCGATTTCAAAAACTTTCAATACGGCGCTTAAGAAGCCTACGTATACGAAATTCGGTTGAGATCGATCAAGTAGGTTTTGAGATACAAATATGTGATATATGTGGGCGGTGCCATCCCAATTTTCCTAGAATTTTGGTGGAAAACTACTTCTTTGCTAAAAAGCGTTTATATAGATACATATATCCATGTCGGTGTGTTTATTATGTATGCCTGTAGTAGTTT